CTCCGCCACGGCCTCGGCTTCCTCTGCGCGGTAGTGCACCCAGCCGTCGGCAAGGTCCTCGGCCTCGTCCACGGCGCGGCGATGCCGCAGCAGCTGAAGCGGGCGCCAGGCACCAGGAGGCGGAGGAGAAGGAGTGACGCAGAGGAGGAGGGGAGAAGGGGCACGGCAATAAACATCAGGAGGGAAGCAGGAGGAGCACGACGACGACGACGACGACGGCAACGACGACGACGACGACGACGACGACGACGACGACGATGACGATGACGACGAGGGCCGGAGGAAAGAGATGGGGAGCGAGAGGGAGGCGGATGAGGAGCAGGAGAAGATGCATAGGCTGGACTGGGGACGGCCTCTGTCCCTTCTCTGGATCGCGTTTGACCCCCCTTCTGCAGCCACTGCGGATTCAGTGTGAACGCAGGCCAGCAGGAACACTGGAAGGAACTTGAATGCGAATCCAGCCCGCCTCCATCACTTCACGCGGCCGCCGCCACCGCCGTGTTGCCCCCGTAACACGGAACTGTCTCACAGCCCGAGGGTCCATTCGCGCTGACACTCTTCCCGTCACTTGCAAGTCCAGGTCGCCGTCGCACATGGCATTAAGGGCGTCGCCTCAAACACACACTTTCGGGCGCGTGCTTGACGAGTTGGACGCTGTCTTTCTTGATGCGCGCGAGGCGGTCCTGGATCTCTTCCCTGCTGATTCGGAATTATTCCTGTAGTCCCTCGAGAGGCCACTGAAGTCTGCAAGCGTCTGATTAATGCTGGCCTCACCGACGTAAAGCCCATGACGGGATGCTCGGAATGGTCTGGATACAAGCCAGTCTCGGCCCGACGTCCCCCTTGTCTGATTGGAGCTCCTCCGCTTCAATGATGGCGCATCCTTCTTGCGAGCCTCCTTGGCTGATGGGTGCATCCGCCCGCCTGTCCACCTCTCTCGCGCGCGTCGCTCCCGCCTTCGTGGCCGCTGCCGCTGGGCGCCTGGGCCTGCTGCCGCTTCCCATTTTTCTCGCCCCCCGCGCCCCCCGCCGCGCAGCTCGCCACGTCGGGCTCGAACTTGGCTTCCGGCCTCTCGCCCGAGGCCGCCTGAGCCCGCTGCGAGCTCACGTCGCTTTCGCGCTCGTCGCTCCCAGCTTCGTGGCGGATGCCCTCGGGCTCTGACCCTGGGAGCGCCAGGGGGAGGAGGAGGAGGATGAGGAGGAGGAGGAGGAGGAGGAGGAGGAGGAGGAGGAGGAAGAAGAAGAAGAAGAAGAGGAGGAGGAGGAGGAGGAGGAGGAGGAGGAGGAGGAGGAGGACCAGCTGGATGCCCTCGGGCTCTGACCCTGCATCTGGCTTCCTTCGGAAGGGCGCCAGGCTCTCGCCGCGGGCGTCGGGCTCCCGCTGCTCCTCGAACGGCTGATCGATAGCCGCCTGGGTTTCCCTCGACTGCCCCCGTTCTTGCGAGCTTCCTCCCAAGCATCGCAATCGACGAGGCCGGGCTGCGACTACACGTTTTGTGTGGCAGCTCGCAAGATCCTCCCATGTCATCTGGCCGGCTTGCGCGAACCGACGCGAGTCGAGGCCCTTTGACACTGGATCGACACTGAATCGAAACTGATTGATGCTAAATCGGCGCTCTCTCAACATGGCCGCTAGCGCACGTTACCGAAGCAATTGACGCGAAAGTGATTCGTAACATTGGGATTTCGCCATTCAAAGTCCGCGGGTTCCAAGCTGGGCACGATCGGCGGCCGCCGCCGAAAATGTAAAAAATAAACGCGAACCGCACATGCAGGTTCCTGAGCTCAAGATTGTCGTGGCCCTGACTGTATTCATCCTCTGCGGACGGCGGAATTCCAACGTCATGATTCGGTTTCGCGCTACGTTCTTACATCCACGGTAGGGCACTCCACGGACGGAACTTCAAGGCACCCCATTTTCGCTGGCGCCGCCGGCGAGCGCAGGCGCGTCTGTGCGGGACCGGCGGGACGCGCCGGGCGCGGGCGCGCTAGAGCAGGCGGGGCAGCGTGGGGAGGGCCGCGGAAGAGGAGAGGGGAGGAGGGCGCGGCGGTCGCAAGTCCACGGGGGTGGGCGCGCGCGGGCGGCCTCGGGAATCAGAGCCTGGTGCGGCACGCAGAACGAGGACGCAGAGTGCTGGATGGACTTGTCGTCGAAGGACCCCTTGGCCATGAGTTCGTGCGGAGCACATGGTTGCCAACTTGTGGCGGTCACACGCGCGGGCTGGTGGGATGCTGCGTGACCCCTCTCGGGAGCCCTCGGGGGGAGCCCTCGGGACCCAGCGAGGCTGGCGTGAAGCCTTGTTGGGTCCGCGACCCAGCGGGGCCACGTGACCCCGCGTTGGCCATGGCCGCCGCTCCTCCACGGGGCCCGTCACACGAGCAAAAGGGGCGACACGTCTGTCTATCTTCCCGCCGTCGGCGTCGGGCGACGGCGGGGCCCCCCGCGTGTCGGCCATGCGGCTGCCCTCGTTCTTGTCTTCGTCGCCGCCCTCGACGTGCTCCGACTGAAAGAGACCGCGAGAGAGAGAGAGAAAGAATAAAAAAACAAGAGATAGATGAGGACCAAAACAAGCTCTGCGACGGAGACGACCGATCTCGAGAGGGCTAAATTTCCCCATCCAAGCCCTGGCCCCAACACTGGCAGGCATTGTGCTCGGGATGTTGGGGCCAAGCTTTTTCTGGCACCACCTCTCCGAACTAAGGCGAGTGATGGTCTGGTTGCAGACAATGCTGCGCACTTGACAACCGCTCCCGGCGGCTGCAAGAAGGGGCCGATGGGACAAAAGCAAACGTTCACGTATCGGGGTCCCGCCGACGAAGGGGAAGAGTTCAATGTTGGCCGAGTATTCGCAGCGACGAAATGCTGGGGCAAGGCAGAGGAAAGAAAAAGCCACACGCCCTAGGGCGCGTGGGCTGCGACGGCGGCACGCAGGCGTGCATAAAAAGGGCTCGGCGCCGTGCGGCTGATGACCTCCTCCACCACCCCTGGACGCGAACGGCGGGCAAGTGCACTTGTTCTGCTCCTTCCGGCCGTGGTCCCCGGGGGCAGGAGGGGGAGGGGGGCCACGCGAAGCGGTTCCCCGAGGCTCGCTGCAGAGCCTGGCCCTGCAACCGTCGCGCGCCGCCGCGCCCCGAGAGGCTTGGCCTGCCGCCCTGGCGCCGCCAACACCGCTCATTGCACCGGCTTTGAAGGCGTGCTGCAGCGGATTTCTGCGTGGATGTTTGCCCGAAGCGGCGAGCGAAAAACGAACTGAATTTCGCGTGGGTTGGTCTCTTTTTGGTGTTCATCCATGGCTAAAATCATGCGCACGAAATTGGCATCGCCATCCGGAGCGAAATTATCCAGGACACCCGGGGCCCACCCCATCGCCTTCCGAACGAAAACCGCTCTGCGATGTTGGCGCCATGACACCGACCCCGTCTGCAGGCATTCTGCGGCCGACCGCACCGCAGGGACCACTTGGTGATCTATCCTCCGTCCCTGCGGGTGCCAAACGATCGGCCGCCGCCGCTGGCTCGCTACGCGGTCGCGGCGGCGGCGGCTGGCCTGTTGCGCTGGCGCACTGAACATGAGCTGCAATACCGTGAGCCGAACTGGCTGACCGAGGAGGAGGAGGAGGAGGAGGAGGAGGAGGAGGAGGAGGAGCAGAAGGAGGAGGAGGAGGAGAAGGAGGAAGAGGAGGAGGAGGAGGAAGAGGAGGAAAGGGAGGAGGAGGAGGAGGAGGAGGAGGAGGCGGCGGCGGCGGCGGCGGAGGAGGAGGAGGAGGAGGGGGAGGAGCAGCAGCAGCAGCAGGAGAAGGAGGAGGAGGAGGAAGAGGAGGAGGAGAAGAAGCAGGAGCAGGAGGAGGAGGAGGAGGACGGAGGGACCAGAAAACGAGAGGGGATGCGGAAGAGATCGGGGGGGAGGAAGATGACGAGGTGAATGCTGGAGGAGGCGGTCAAAGAGTGAAGGGAGTTGGATGGGGAGGACAGGCGGTTATAGAATGCAGGATGGAGGCAGCGGAGGGAAGGTAGCTCCCCTCTTCCTGTGCGGAACTATCCGTCTACGGAAAAGCCGCTGAACCATTTTGCAGAAGTGCAGAAGAACATCTGTGAACAATGCGACATACGGGCTCTGCTGCGGCGTAGAAGACGCTGCGTTGGGGACGAGGGGGCGGGAGGAAGAGAGGGCGAGGGAAGGGAGACAAAGGGAAGCCAGGAGAGGAAAACGCAGGCAACAATGGGGAAAGCGAAAGGACTTTCTTTGCTTAAATCGGGGCGGGCTGGGTGAGCATGGCTGGTGGACCCGCCTGCTTCAGGAGGGCGCCACGGGTCCCCATCCAGGCCCGATCCAGACCCAAATCGGTATAGACGGATACTCGCAGTCGCCGTGGTGCTAGTTGCTGCGCTGGCGCTGCTGCGCGTGGCCTCGCTGCTCGCCGTCGAAGTACCCGTTGCGATATAACTGGTGGTCGGATGTGCGGTCGCTGTGGTGCTGTTCGTTCTGCTTGTGTGGTCCGCGCCTGGTGCTGCAGGTCAAATTCGCGTTGTCGCTGTTCTCGCTGTACTGCCGCACGCTGTGCCAGCCCTGCTGCGCAGAGTGCTACTGGTCGACGCCGTAGTGTTTGATGCGGCGTCGCTGCTGGTCGGTGTCGTTGTAGCTAGTTTCGTTGGTGTTCGTGCGCGCGGTGCTGCTGGTCGAACTCGTAGCGTTCGGTGCACCCTTCCTGACACCGAGGTGGGCAAGATCAGAAGCAGACAGAGCCGGCTACTGCGCGAAGCGATGCCACGAATTCTCGCCCGCCCGCGCCTCTTTAGGGAGGCCGAGTGGGCAGTTGCGCCCTCATGCCTCAGACCGCCGTTCACCTTAAGAAGAAACCGGAAATAAGCGCCAGTGTGCAGAATGCGATGGGCCTCCAAAGTGAGAAGTACAACATTCCCCCAAGGGTTCGTGATCTTCTTCCGACGGGACAATGGTTTGAACAAGTTATGCTGGGGCCGACGAGAGCGGTTCAGTAAAGGACGTCCACGGTGTGGAGAGAGGACTCCCTTCTCCCGTAGACTCCTGCCCAAGAGAAGTATGTCTTCCTGCGAATTAGCTGCGTTGTGCTCTGG